CCACAGGGTCTCCAAGGCTGTCAATCTTCACAGAAACAAAGCCCAAACCAAACCCACTGCCGTGGAGTCCATTCTGACTCACAGCGCCCCTAGAGGACAGAGTGGAACTGCCCCACAGGGTCTGGAAAGCCATCTAATTTTACCTTGCTCATTCTTTCCCCCCGATAAATTAGAAGCAATGCTGGAGAAACGTTTTCATGGCACCTGAGATTACATTATATGCATCAGGCTTATCCTGAACAGTGTCCCTTTGGCATTATGACAGCAGATCTCCTCTGTGGGTGTGCACGTGGCTAGGGGAGAAGGCAACATGCATGTACAATATGTACGTTTGGTTGTTGTGGGGTGTCAGTGAGTCAATTTCTCCTCCGAGTGACCCCATGTGATAGAGTGGAACTGCTCCATGGGTTTTCCCAGGCTGTCGTCTCTATGGGAGCAGACTGCCAGGTCTCTCTCCCGGGGAGCTGATGGGGGGATGTGAATGGCCAACCCTTTGGTTAGAAGCTGTGTGCTAGGCCATTGTTCCCCCAGGTCAGTAAAATGTGTACAACCTCAGACAATACAAAGGCATTTCACAAATGCTACCAGTTTCAAAGAAGCATCCATCCCTGAGTACAGTTTCATTTTCTTCAGCAAAATGCAAAAGAACAATGAAGAGATGATTGGAAAAAGAATGTGTGTGTGTGTAATGATGGCTTCGTGTGTCTTTACATGTGTGTGTTTATGGTCATGTATGTGCCTTGTGGTTGCATGGGTTGATGGCTTTTGGTATGTTTACATGTGTGTTTATGGTCATTTATGTGTATGTAGTTGTGTGTCTGGATGGCTTTGTGTGTGTTTGCATGTATGTGTTTAAGATCATGTGTGTATGGTTGTGTGTGGATGGCTATGTGTGTTTGCATGTGTGTGCTTATGGTCATGTATATGTGTGTGTATGTGGGTGAGCTCTGGTGGTGCAGTGCCTAAGGCATTTGACTGCTAACCAGAAGGCTGGTGGTACAAACCTACCAGCCACTCCCCAGAAGGAATATTGGGCAATCTGCTTCCATAAAGATTTACCACCTTGGACACCCAAAGGGGGTAGCTATGAGTTAGAATTGACTTGGTGGCAGTGAGTTTGGTTTTTTTTGGTTTTGGTATGTGTATGTGTGTGTGAAAGAACTGAAGAAAAAATTCGAGCCTCAAGTTGCAATACTGAACAATTCTCTGGGCAAAATAGTGAACGATGCAGGAAGCATCAAAAGAAGATGGAAGGAACACACAGAGTCACTGCACCAGAAAGAACTGGTTCATCTTCGTCCATTCCAGGAGGCGGCATATGATCAAGAACCAATGGTATTGAAGGAAGAAGTCAAAGCTGCACTGAAGGAACTGGCAAAAAACAAGGCTCCAGGAATGGATGGAATACCCATTGAGATGTTCCAACAAATGGACGCCCTGCTGGAGGCACTCGGATATGCCAAGAGATTTGGCCAACTGACTGGAAGAGATCCATATTTGTACTCATTCCAAAGAAAGGTGATCCCACAGCATGTGGAAATTATCCACATTCTTGTTGTTATGTGCCCGTGAGTCGGACCTGACTCATAGCGACCCCTCTTTGGGTTTCCAAGGTGGTATGTCTACGGAAGTAGATTGCCCAATCTTCCTTCTGAGGAGTGGCTGGTGGGTTTGAACC